GTTGTTGAAGGTTTAATGGAATTCGAAATAGAAAAATAATCAGTGGATGGTATATTATTCCTAGCTTAAGTTAACATTTTTCGAAGGCTTTTCTTCTAAGAAAAGATTTTTTTGGAGGGTGTTTTAAAAGTAAATAAAAATAAAATTGATGTATATTTTAAGAAGTTTAATTAGTGAAGTGAATGAGAAAACTAAATACTGAAATTCATTTGAAAATCTCATCTATTTTTCCATTATTGATCGCTGGCCTTAAAGCTGCTGCTATTGTTGCCATTAATCTCGTTCGAGACAAGCCAATTAGGCTTATCTCCTGCAGGGAAAATGCCTTTAACCTAATCAACTCCCTAATACACATAAACTCATCTAACCCTTCAAAAACTCATCAGCATTGCCAATATGTGTGCGAATATGGGGCTTTTTCGACGAACCGAGGGAAAATGGCACTGAGCGAATCGAATACAGCTTCCTTGTCAATTACAGCGACAGTTGCCATGGCCGTCACTCAGTCATCGTTATAGGGGCAAATGTCACAAGCGTCCCTAGTCCCCTAGCCGGCCGGCCTGCACACTGGCCAGTGGCCACATATGTATGAGCGACAGTGACCTCCCTCCCCCAAAAACTTACCCAAAGGCCAGACATGGCCCACTCGTTTTTGGTAATTACATTTGCAGTCAGAGTGAAAATGCTGACACACACAGACCCTGCGAATGAGAGAGTGTGTCGACTTTTGTCAAACATAAAGCTGCAAAATGCTGTACGAATTTCGGCAGGACGGCAGAACGACAAAGTGCACTGGGATGATGCGAAATCGGAGAAAACATAAATCAATATCGGACAGTTCCCTGACATCAATCAGAGGGGCCCGCATCGGAAGGGAATACTATACTATAGAAACCCAATGAAATTAAGACGGGACGGGATCAATGGATGACGAAGGCAGAACAAAAGATATCCCGAAGAAGAGACTACGGGGAAGAATCCAAAACGAATCGAGACGAAACCCTTCTGGTTCGCTTAGAAGGAGGTTCCCTTTGCCGCCTTTGTGTCCCCCGTCCCCGAATACCTTTGGTCCCCTCTGATCGCGTGTTCTTCTTCAATTACAGCGTCATTATACCGAAAGCCGAAAACGTTTTACGGTGCGAAAGCCGGAGGACCCCCGAGGGCAAGGTTAACCCTTTGGGTTCTTCTGGAATTATGGAATTCTGGAATGTGTTTTATTGAGTTTTAAAACATTTATATAAAAAGGATTTATATAAATGGTTTTATAATGGTTTATAATGGTTGCCATTTATAAGGCAAATGATTAAGGATTTATAAAATATATTAAACGGCATTATCATTATACCGCTTTTTGATTATAAGAATAATTGAAAGAAAGTCCCTTAAATTACCATAAAATCATCTAAACTAATAATATAAAAGTCCCAGATTGCACCACTTTAGAACCCAATGGGTTAAAGCCAAGCCGATCTTGGTTCGCGGGCTTCCTCCACTTGCTTTGTGATCGCCGAAGAAAGAAAGAGCTTTGTGTTTCTCGTCTTTATTTTATAATTTTTTTTTTCGCTTTTGCCTGCCTGCTCTCCGCGGCGTAATTCAGGATTCTCCTTGCTCTGTTATTATCGGCGGGTTTTGAGTTTGGGTTTGGGGTTACTTTATTATTTTTTTTCAGTTTTTTTTTTTGGTTGCTGGTAGGTAATTGCCCTGATGTTCAAGCTCAGCAGGCGGCTTCTTCGAAGCAAAAAAAAAAAGTAAAGACGTGGAAAGGGGCAGCAGTCGAGCTCAAATTTAAAAACAATCAAAATTTTTTTCAGCAGCCACTATGCATAGAGCCAAATTAAAACCAGGTATTATCCATACATGTGTATAATCAAAAATCGTTGGATGGAAGGCGAGCACCGGCCGAATCGAAAGAAACAGGTAACGTGTCGGGGCAGAAAAGAAAGCTTCGATTTTTTGGGGCGTGGCAGTTGCAACAATTGAAGATGTTGCACATATAATTGCTTTTGCATTTTTGAAAAGTTTGATACCTTTGAACTCGTAGTTTATGGTTTAGAGTTGATGATTTAAACAAATTGGCTGTCTTTGTTTGATGTTAGGTAATCAACTTAATTATAGTTAAAATTAAGTGCACCTGAGTTCAATTTTAAAGTTTTTATTGTTTCTTTTAGACTTAAAAATAGTGTAAGCTTTACAATCCTGGTTATAATGATTGATGATAGCCTTGGTGATTAAAAAATATCACATTTTTAAATTTATGTTTTAAAACTAATCTAAAAGAGCCCCAATTATTCATCAAGGATGTCAGCAGCTTATTAAAATGTAAAGTCCTTTAAAATGATTTGAATAACCTTATTAATTGGTTTATTAACCTTTTGAAAAATATGGTTTGGGAAATAAATGCCACAGCCCCAAAGAGCAAGAAACATTAATCCGCAACTCTCTTACATAAACAAAAGTCATTTTATCACAAATAAAGGATAAAATCACTATTCAAAAATCTATTTTATCTATTTTAATCAGGGACTGTAACGGTTATAATTAAAAAAGCAAAAAATTACAAAATAAAAGTTATTTCTTAATTTTTATGAAAAAAATTGATTTTTAATAATTAAAATTAATTTTAATAATAAAAATTTAGTAATAATTATTAAGTATCAATTTTTATATAAAAATTACGCAATAACTTTTATTTTGTAATTTTTATTATATAAATTGGAAAATAAAAATTATTCGATAACTTTTATTTTAAAAATTGAAAATAAAGATTGAATCTATATATCTTTTGATCCGTAGAAGCCAGATCCAATATATATGTATATATATGATCTACACATCAATACCTTTTAGATGGTATATAATAAGTATGTATATATGTTTATCCGCTTATGTGCCTGTGCAGTATTGGCAGTATTCATAAATAACTATTTATAATAACTATACTATAATAACTAACCCAACTATTGTTGCGGCGGCTGAGAAAGAGTAGTTCATTAAATTGTTAATCAAGATTAAATTACAACAATTTATTAGTTTTTAATATATAAATGGCTAATTATTTAATTTCAAGAACATTAACCTTTGCACGGAGTCTTCGGCAAGGTTGCATCTAAGATTAGTAATTACTAATTTAAGGGCCGAAAATGCCCTTTCAACCGATACCTGCGTTGCAGGCACTGCATGTACTATTTGAGCCAGATATTTTTTTCAACTCCCAATAGCTCATGATATTCACGCTTGGATCTATGGGCTTTGGTGAATATTCATTTATTTCTGTTGCCAATTTAAGCTCGGGTTCATCATCGTCCTCAGAGTCTTCTGAATACTGAATAAGGCACATAAGCGGATAAACATATATACATACTTATTATATACCATCTAAAAGGTATTGATGTGTAGATCATATATATACATATATATTGGATCTGGCTTCTACGGATCAAAAGATATATAGATTCAATCTTTATTTTCAATTTTTAAAATAAAAGTTATCGAATAATTTTTATTTTCCAATTTATATAATAAAAATTACAAAATAAAAGTTATTGCGTAATTTTTATATAAAAATTGATACTTAATAATTATTACTAATTTTTTATTATTAAAATTAATTTTAATTAATAAAAATCAATTTTTTTCATAAAAATTGAAAAAAAAAAATTTATCTTGTTTTTGAATTTGCCATGAAAATTTAACTTATGACAATTTTTTTCAATTTTTTTGGAGACTGTTTTGGGCTTCAATTTTTTTAAACTCATAATCATTATTTACGGTCCCTGATTTTAATCTATTCAATTCTCTAATCTAATAAAATAAAATCATAAATATATTAATAATAAAAAAAAAACCTATTAAAATTATTATTTAAAATGTTTAGATTTTCTATATTAAAATTATGTATTAAAAATCGTATTTATTAAGTTAAGCACATTTTTTGTTTAAAAGAAAAATACTTACATATATGCGTGATGTAAATTAACTATGGTAGAACTTTTTAAATATTTTTTTAAGTTATAGAAAGCTCTTTATATATACATTTATAACCCATTTATTTTTAATTTTTATATTTTTAATTTTTAATCCCAATATTAAACCTACTAACAGCATTTTCGAAATGGGAGCTCAACAGTGTAAGTTCGAAAGAGAGCCGCCTAACAGACTTAACAGCGGCAGAGAGCAACCTGGAGACCATTAACAGAGCCAGAGAGTAGAGTATCTGAAAAACACCCACTGTAGTTTATCGAAAAGATTGTTTTTGTTTTCGTATCTCGTGGATTTCGGTTTGGCTCTCTGTTTGAGTGTTTTCGAGTGAGGCGAGCAAGGTTTGGGCGACTCCGTGGCTTTCAGTTTGTTTTCGTTCATCTTGGCAGAAGGACGTGAGTCGCGCGTGTGCTACGATTTTCGAGATACATCGAAAGGTATCTGGAAGATACGCGTACTTTGGTTTCCCCAAAACAACTTGACCGACCAAGTGACCAAGTGAAGTTCATACAAAACAAAAAAATATTTATTGAAAGCAAGAAATAAATGAATAAAAATCTGCGAGATAGGCAAAAAGTGAAAATCAAGTGTAAAAAGTCAAAAACCGCCCCCACAACAATAACAACAATAAACAGCCGGCCGCCACCCTCCGAAATATTGACGTCGCCGCCTTAGTCAAAGTCTCTGTCGCAGTCGCAGTCACAGTTGACGTCGCAGTCGCGTCTCGCAATCGTTTGGAAATAAATCGTGTTTCGCCTTTTTGCAATTGTTGTTTTTGTACGAGAGTGTAGTACCGCGTGTGTGTGGTGTTGTTGTTGTTACATTTTGTTGTTTATACGCCAAGTTATTTACGTCGCCGTTTTGCCTCTGTGTCGTCCAACAACAACAACAACAATAAGAGAGAAACAATTGTAAAAACAACAAAAACATCAGTGAAAAACAAATCGAGTCGGCAAAAATGTTTTACAATTAAAATTACGCGCGCAGCGGGCACAAAAGTATCTGCAAGATACACATACACACACATACGTATAGATCAAATAAACCAGCGCAATATGCGCAAATTAAACTAAAATGCAGCACATCAGAGCTGTAAAAACTTTTACGACTCCCCCCCAACCATTGCCGCCAACCTGCTTTGATGCTGCTGCTGCCAGTGTTGTTGGTAACTCTGCACTGCCACCACCACCACCACCCGCACAGTCGAAAATAATACCAGATACAAATTAAGGTCGCCCAGCGGCAGCGCATAAACACGGTAGAAGTTTTCTACCTGAGAGTATATTAGTCTCTGGGTCCTTAGATCGTTACACAAAAGGATATCCCACCCGGAGAAAGAGTGAGGACAGCGACGTGTGGAAGCGAGACGCACAAACACAAAGGCCGTAAAACATTTTGGACGGTGCTGGCTGCAGGTCCTCCACCTCGCAGGACTCGTAAATTTCCAACCCAACCAACCCACCCAAAATCCACAAAAACAACCAGGAAGAAGCAGCCAAAAATTTTTAAGAAATCACCAAGTAACTGCATTCACTGCCAGTCCTCCTCATACACATACCAACAAACAAATATATATATATATAAAATAAATATATATATATATTCTGGCAGAGATGGCGGGCAACATTGTCAAATGGTGGAAGCATAAAATTCTCGGCGGCTACAAACAATTCTCAGGTAAGCGAAAGCCAAGCGTTCTCAACTTGTTTAGTGAATTTCCAGATAGTTGGCAACAGATATAGAAAAGATGGATGTTAATGCTCCCTGGGAGTGCCAAAGTTGCTTGAATGACCAACGGGAGAGATAGCATTCAAGGAAACAATTTGTTTCAAAATACCCAACTAAATTAAATACCTTAGATGAAGTCTCTTTCGGGAAATAGAGTGGGAAATCTCTTAAATATGAGGTATTAATGGCAAGGTGATGGTGAGATATGGTATCATTACAAGGATTTGTTTAGAAATAGGGGTTTGTCTTACTTTAATATAATTTAAAGATTGCAATACAATAGATTTTCGTTTGAAATCCCCTTTCTTGACGAAAAATAATCACCAATAATTATTTACCCATTATCCGTAAACCGTTTTGAATGCCAAGTTAATCCCCAAAGGTTTTCCTATTCCTTTTTCGAGCTACCTCTTATCACAGACCTTTGCCCCATTACCATACGACTATCTGGAACTGAGGATCTAAAATATTACCTTTTTTTTAAACAATTGCTCAGCCACTAGCACACACACTCTCAGATCTATCTATTCGGAATTCATTCAGTCAAGGGCTTCTCCCACATCCTTTTCCAATAATTACACCGAACAAGAAGTCGAAAAAAAAAAATAAAATGTAGGCAATCCCCCGGCTGCGTTTTTATCTAGAAGATACACACAGCCGTTTGTATCTTTCGGTCGCTGTGGGGAAGTGGTAGGGAAAACGACACACAAAAATAGAACAGGCCGATAGAAAATCGGGCAGAGAGGAAAAAACAAAAACAACTACAAAACATCAAAAGAAAAACGACGCATCGCATGGAAAATAAATAGAATTTTTTTTGGAAACAGATCGAAGCGAAATATAGTCGTGATCAATAGAACGAACTATCGACTCCTGCTGACGATGCACAGAAAGAAATCAAGAGTCCTTGTGTGGTTTGAAGATTCTACAAAATATTTGAGCACCAAAAAATTATATCTGTTCCTTAGAAATCATAAACCCTCTTCCGACTTCCAAGTATTTCTTCAAAAATTATACATAACTCGGGGAAACAAAAAGTATCTTTCGATCGTTTTTCTGCCAAACGAGCGACATTGATGTCCGAATCGTTGAAGGAACATCAATCAATCAATGTTCCTCTTCTGGGTTTCTGTCCACAAATTCATCAGAATTATTCTCCTTCCTTTCGTATTTATTTATTATTATTATAATTTACAAAAAAAAAGAAAGAAAGAGAGATTTCTGGGCTGGCAATTGGTCTGCGCCAATTAAATGCCAGGCCAACACTTTGAACCCTTTCCAGGACAACAAGACCCGTACACTAATTGCTGGCAGATGCAGGGGGAATTCAAAGGAAACCTCCAAAGGCACACCGAAGTATGCAACTTCAAAGAAAGCAGCCACAAAAATACTACACTCTGGCAACGGGGCAACACAGCCAGAGAAAATAAAAGAAACAAAAAAATAAAAATAAAAAAAATAAGAAGGAAAATAAAGCGAATTGAAATGCCGACGCCGTTTAAAAACAACGTACGAACATTTCTTACCTGTTGCAGGTAAAACCGAACCGAAGTCGATGCCACGATGGAGGTGGAGTTTGCTGCCCATTGCTGATGGAAGTACACAGAAATTAATAATTACAATGAAACTAATAACTAAAATTTTAAGGAATTTTTAGTAAAATTAGTCAAATGAAATAGGCAGGATTAAGTCAGAAGATACTTTCTCACAGGCTTTGGTTATTAGCTGCTTTTCTCAATATCTTTTTTTTAATGTGTAGAGAGAAGCAGCTGCTACGAGGCCAAGACCGATACCGACTCATACACAAAAACCTTTTAAAACCCTCACGTTGATAAAACAACAACAACAACAATCGACAGCGGCAGCAAGTCGTCGAGCCGCCGCCGCAAGCAAAAATAATAATAACTGAGCGGCAGGCGGCAGAGTCGTTGCAACCTCTCCGACTCCATCTCCGACTCCAAAAAACCCCCCCACTCCAACCCCAGCCACATCTCCATGCCCATCCCCAGTCACAGCCACATTTCCAGCTCCCCCAACTCCCAAGTCGAACTCCACCGACCACCGTCTCCATCTCGAAGATACATCCACCAGCAACCAGTTCCGCGGCCAGGCCAACTATGCCAAACATCTCGGCAGCGGCTACACAAAAGCGGTTTTAGAGACCAAACGACGATCGGCAGACGGACAGACGGACAAACGGACAGACGGACAAACGAACGGCGATCCAGCCAGCGAGCGTACGTTGTTTGTATCTTTGAGATACACACCGCACCGCAGTTGATGCTGCGGCCAAGCTGCGCTTTGCGCTTCGTTCAAAAGATGCGCTTTTCGCTTTGAGGCGCGGCATCAGAGGCCTTCGGTCTTGCCACAGTGGTTCGGAAATGTGCCTTTCAATGGGGATTATCGGCGGTACTTAAGTGAGCCTATACTCTCAGATACTTGTACTAGGTCTAGGTAGGGCCAGGCTTGTAACTGAGAGGTCGTTGAGTCGGAATTATAAAAGAGATTATAAATGATTTTCTGGGTAAAGGATTTTCTGGGTTGTAAATTCTAGATGGGTATTTAAGAATACATATAATAAAAGAAGGGATTAAGATTGTATCTTAAGAATTATTTATGAAAAAATATGATGGGATATGATAATTTACTTTCAAAGGGATGAGTTATTTTTGCTTTGAAGAAATTAACTACTTTTAGGTGGCAAAAAATATATATTTAATAAATAAAGTACACTAAATATATAGTAAATTAATATAGCCAAGTATTATTTATCAGGAAATATATTTAATATTTTTGTAATAAACTTAAACCACAGTACCTTTTTGTGGGTTTCACAACTTTTGCCTTGGCTTTTCTTCGATTCCGTGTGGTTTTTGTTGTTATTATTATGGCCTTAGCCATAGTTGTTGTATTTATTGTTGTTGTTGTTGTGAATTACGGTAGAAGGCACAAGGCGAATCGCATTGCATCCATTGCCTTCATGACAGGCCGAAAAAAAGCGAGGCTCAAAAGCCCCGGCCTCACCGGGCTTAGCTGGCTCAGAAGAGGGCCCCAACAGCTCAAGCTGCAACTACCAACTTTTTGGCTGGTCCCCAAGCCAAATAGCAGAGAGTGGGGCAGAGCGGGAGCAATAGCCTGGTATAAGCAATTTTCGTAATATTAGCCAGGAAGTTGCCGCTCTGCCATCGCGGCGGCGACCCTATAAGGCGAGGTTCAGTTCAGCTCCGATCGTTGCGGATGGGATTGGTTTTTATTTTATTTTCTTGATTTTTTTTTTTGGTTTTGAAGTGAGCTTGGTGGACTGGTTTTTTTTTGGAGTCTGTGCCGCGTAAGAAACCGAACCGAAAAAACCAAAACAATGCTGCCGCCTTGTGCCAAAAGATAAAAAGCTGTTAGCTCGTAGCTTCTGCATTTCTGCAGGCATCCCGGGGGTTGGGGCCACTCCAAGATATATGTAATGACTTTTGAGGTTTTGTTTTGGTCAGTTGGGGCTTGTTGTTGATGCTGTGTGTGTGCCTGTGCCTGTGTGTTGATTTAGCAATTGGCTCTCGGGCCACTTCTTGGAATTATGCCGCACCAAGCTCAATGAGCAAATATTCACCCATTCCGTCCGTCAACTGGCCAATGCCTTTCTCCTCCTCTCCAAATAGGCCAGGCCTATAACTTCTAGCCCATATGTAAATTGTAAGCTTAAATATGGAGACTATGCTATGAATTCAAGTGAAAAGGTTACAAGGTGTATATAATGAAGGGTTTTATGAAGGGATTATGTTTCCTGCAATATAATCTAGGAGGATTTATAAAAGTGATCATCGAAAAGGTTCTGCCAGGTAATTTATTAAAAATCGTTTAATTTTAAAGTTAACCCTTCAAGCTTTTTTTGCCATTTAAAAAATTAAAGAAATACCTCTTCAATTTTGTTTTTCAAACGAAAAAATAAAACACGATACCTAATTCTTTGGCAAATATTTATGGACACTTGGGTGCCAGTTTATTTCAATAACCCTGATGGAAGAACCGTGTTGGCTCTTCTTCTTTGGCGAATTGTGGCCCAGCATGAGTATGTGTCTGTATCTGTGTGCCTCTGGGTGCATGTGTGTGTGTGAGGGAGTCGGTACCTCTGACGTCTGATTGATAAGCGAACCCCCCGCCTTATCTTAATAATATTTAATGCACGGCAAGGCGAGCGTGGCGAGGCCGATGCCGAAGCCGAAGCGAAAAATTTTGTCACCAAGGGGGAAAGGGGTTAGTTCTGGGGCACCAGGGGTCTCTTCAGTGGTTGTGAGGGGGGCTGGTGGGGGGGCATATAGTTTGTGTATAGTGAAAATGAAATTGAAAATAATACAAAACGCTTTGTCGGTCATTAGCTTTGAGTGGACGCCGCCGCCGCCACCGCCGTTCCGTTCCGTTCCGTTACCGCTTATTATTATTTAATTTTTTTTTTCGCTTTTTTTTTTTGGGGATCGTCGCGTCATTTGTTCGCTTGGTTTGGGTTCGGTTTGGTTTTGATTATGTCAAAGCGAAAAAGCCGCCAAACATCAGTGGGCCATGGGCCCGCATGAGTGGGCCATGGGAGTGTGGTGTGCTTTGAGGAAAGCGGCCTGGGAAACTTTTTTTGTGGGGTAGGTGGGGTTTACAGTCCAGCCAAAGTGGAAACGGGGATTTTTCTGGTAATGGCAGATAAGCGAAAGATCTCACACAGAACATTAAGTAGTTTATTAAATTTACATTCAGTAGGCTTAAATCAAACTTTAAATCGCTTTACATTATTTTTTTATATTATTTTACCAAAAACTTGAACAAAGAGGACTATAAGCTTTTGGAAGAGTGGGCTATGATGAAACAAAAGGCGGCCAACAAATAGGAAAACCGGCAAAACCAAGCCAACTGACAACAAAGCGAACTATGGCATACCCGTACTTTATATCTGATGCGTTTGTTTGAGTGTT